AACATGTGCGTTCGATCGGTGTGAAGCTCCTAGCCCACACACGTCAAACGGATCCATTAAACTTCATTTCATATTTATTTTTGAAGCGTGAAGATGGACCGCGATGGTGATGACGGAAAAAAGACGAAATATTTTTATTTAATATAAATGTATTAAATAATTTTATTTTATTCCGGGAAAAAACATTTTTATTTGCCACACAGTAGAATATGTGTAAAAACATCAAAAAATCTTCCAAATACATATGTATTGCCTTTGTCCGCTGATCCGCACTCCACGAAATTTTTTAACAAATGAGAAAATATCCACACACCAGGCCACAGACGTCAAACAAGTGCGCGTCGCACAACGAAAAATTAAAAATTTTTAATTTCTTTCGATCGGTGTGCGCACCGGCAAATCGGTGTGAACACCGTACCACACACGTCAAACATTGCTTCGATTCACACCGATCGAACGCACATGTTTGACGTGTGTGGGCCACTTAAGACAAATGTAGTAGGGAGAGAGAGATCAAAACACTGAAAGAGATCATCTGATTTATTTTTTGAGATATTTGAAATATATTTTGTTAATTTAAATTAAATGTTTGTTAACATTTTTTAGACAATTAATAAAACAAGTAAAAGAAACATATTTACAAAAGAAAATATGAATCAATTACTTTAATATTTGTTATTGTTTTCATTGGTTATTTATGAGTGTGAGAGTTCAAGTGAGAGAGTGACTGTTTATCTTTTGTTTAGTTTAATATAGACAACATTTTTTAAATTAAATTACATTTTTAATAAAATATATAAGAAATTAAATAAGGAAAAGAAATTTACAACACAATTTTTTAATATTTAAGCATTTTTTATATGGAATTCCAACAAAGTAGAGAGAGAGAGAGCGCGCACAGGAAATAGAACAGCTGTTCATTCTTTGGTTATTTTTATAAACATAACAAATAAATGCCTATTTTTTTATTTTAAAGAAATATTCAATAATATTTATAAAGAATTTTATGATATAAAAAGAAAAACAAAAAATGTCCAAGAATAATATTCCTACATCTTTTTCCCCTGCTGATGTTGATCAGTTTTCCATCATCACTCCTCTTGAAATAATATTCGTGCCAAAATAACACTTGAATGTCCTTTTTTGTATTTCAATGCAAAGAATAGAGGGTGGTGAAACATGTGTACACTCCCACAATACACTTCCTAAGAACACAGGGGGAAGGTTTATTCTTTTGAACTCTACTTGTGTCGCCAGCCTGCATTCTTCTTCTTAAGGAGGGTGGGAGGCGGCAAACAAGCATTGGTGTAATTCAATGTTATTTTAGCTAAATCCCAATGGTAATTTAAAACATGAACATGAACACATGTTCAGATTATGCATTTCTGGCAAGTCATTGCTAAGGATTTACAACAAAACACTTGTTCATTCGTCGTTATGGCGGCAAACAGAAAATTTGTATGTGACAGACGGTAGCCATTACAGCTTAACAAATTTTGCAAATTACTATGTCCTTTCTTTACTGGGTTGTCTAGCATAGAGATGGAAAGTATTTCAATGGAATTCTCGGAAGAAATAAAATCCATGTTGTTTATACTTCTCTAAAGGACTACAGGCGTCTCAAAGAGGATACGATTTACTAGTCAGAGATTAGTAACAAAGATTCGAAGGATCAAAATTCCATTGAAAATTTCAGACTTTCAGAGAATTGTCTCTTTAAATTCTTTACAATTGAATTATAATTACAAAATGTTGCATATTGTTATTAAAAATATTACTAATATAAAGAATTTTTAGGTAAACATGTTTTCTCTAATTTCTCTAAACTATTCATTCAAACACCATTAACTAAATGAAGATATTCCCATATAATATGCCATGTATACTAATGACTTCCTTGAAACCAAGAAAAACATGGCCTCAGAAACGTAGAGAAAAAAATGTTTATTAATGTTTCGTTTTTCTTTATAACCGTTAAAATATGAAAAGAAGAAAAAAAAACGTTTGATTAAAAAAACATAAATCAGTGAACAAATTGTTTGGCATTATGTCTGGGGGGACAAGGCGAGACATTAAAAAAATGCATGTAAGATAAACGTGATTTCCTTTCCAGTCAGTCAGTCCGTCAGTTAACCCGAGGTTGTACCAATCAGATATGAATGTTGTTGTTGTACATTTAACTGATTGGTAATTGATACAAAACCCATGGAATTTTCATTAAGTCATGACAAGAATATTTTAAAGCCATCATGGCCTATAAAACGCCACTCCAACATGAAAGCTTTTTTTCTGTTGTGCATGAGTGTGTGAAAAGGAATAAAACAAAATTTATTCCAAAACGCAGGCAGTTCATTTGTGTTGACAAGACGCTTCTTGAGTTGTTTTAAAGACGGCCCAGATATGTTCGGTCTCCTTTTCTTTTTTTCCGAACAGACAGCTTAGAACGGAAGTAAATTCAATGGGATCATGTTGGCCTGCCTGTCTGGCTGCATAGCGTCATGTTTTTTCTGCTCTCATTGCTCTGTTAAACGTGTTTGAGACTTCCTTTCGATAAACAAGCAGACAAACATACATCCCATACTAACTAAAGCAGGTCTTTGTTTTCAAAAAAATGTTTAATGATGGCGATCTTTACTGTTCCCAAGAAACGGAAGTAAAGCTAATATTCATATTTTTCATATTCTCTTCCAGGGCTAGGCATTAACACATCTTTTCTGGTTTGGGGGAGAATCTAAGAAAAGAAATCATTGAACTCTTGGTTGTTTTTTATACAAAATAAAATATCATATTACCTGAATATCTTGAAAATCTGTAGTACATCATCTACGCTTCTTGAAACAGGGCAATGTCTTTTTACGGGGTTAGTTTTTGTCTTCTGTTTTTTTTTTGTCTTTGGTTTGGTGAATGGTATAAAGAATATACCCTAGCAACAGACTATAATGTCTGGCTTTTAATTATTTTCTTTTATAAAGAACATCTGTCGTTTTCCAAAATAACTAAATTCAACCCCCAAAAAATTTAGTTAGTTTGCTTGGTTGCACACACAACAAACAATATGCATGAAATTTGTAACGCTTTTTTTGTTGTTGCTTGCATTCGATATTTGTTTTCTTCTTCTCTTTGTATTAGTAGTTCTTCGATCATCCCTTATTTTTTGAAACTCTGAACTCTTGAAAAGCAACCCTGTTGCACCACCGCTACTACCTGCTTCTCCTAATACTCCTCTACCTTATATATTTTCTTTCCAATCTTCCATTTCTTTTGTTCCCCCTTTTTTATACAATATCTTAAAGATCTTCAATATCGTTTTTGTGTTTGGTTTTGGAACCCTCACATGTCCCAAAAGCAGGTTTAGTTTGTTGTTTTTGTATTAACCACAACATTTAAAAGGCAGCTGGCGCATGCCCTTATTGTCGGGTTTTTTGTTTTCTTTTCATTTTGTTTTTTTTTTTTCTTGATAAATGCGTACTAAAATTATTTGTTTGTCATCTGGAGAAACTGCTTCTCCTTCTTGTTGTTGGGGTTCAACACAGCATATGCAACCAGTCTTGATCATTGTAGTACCCATCAGACGCATTGTATTTTTTTTTATTCTTGGGTCTTTATTGTTGTCTCTTAAAGTTTTTGGCACGCGCCACCATAAGAGGTATCAAACTTATGTTGTCTTCTTCAACTTGGGGGATTGTCCTTTAACATGATGTCAATGATAAATGCAAGCTTAAAATACACATAAATATAAATTTAAAGAAGACGGGTTGCAGAAGCAGCAAGGCTTTGATGAAGCCTACTTACTTTTATTCTATATTTAGTTTTGCACTTGTTCCTTGGCTTCTCCATATGTTGGAAATTCATAATAAGTTGTGTTGTTGTTATACAAGCAATTTATCACGTATTTCTTTGGGGGTATTTTTAAATTTATTTAATTTTTTTCAACTTGTCTTTTTTATTTAATAAGGCTCAGCTGTTATGTGCATTGCAAAGAATGACATTGACAGTTAATTTGTCATCCACACTCACTGTGTGTATGTGCACTCTCTTTCTCTCTCTCTGCATTTGCATAGATTAATTCCTTTTAAAAGCCACAATAGTTATTAAAGTTATATTTATTTTAATAAATTTAAAATTAATTATATTTTTGCAATATTTATTACTTGTTGTTTCGTTTAAAATACAATAATTTCCATTTATTTATCCTTTTATTTCGCTCTCAATGTGGTTATATACCACTCACTATTTCTTTCTCTCAGCTTCTTAACGCCATTTAACTAAATATTTCGTTTAAAATATCATACAATTTTACTTTTTTTAAATTAAAATAAGTAAATATTAATTAATAATTAATTTGTTAAAATTAGCACATAAATTATTAATTTATTAAAATTTTAATAGCAAAATACACAAACGCGTATATTGCTCTCTCTCTCTTTCTTTCCCCATATTACCTTTGTTGACATTTAATAACACATAGACGATGGAGGTCAATTAACGCCGTTAAATGATGCGATGTCCTAAAATAAACAAATTTTAATTTAATAACCAATTTATTATAAATTTAACAAACATACTATTATTTCTAAAGGACTATTCAATTATTAATAAATAATTTAATAAAATAGGAAAATTTGTGTTTATTATCTCACTTTTTCACATTGCTTACACATCACAGCCACAGGACTCTTGAAATTCAAGTCTTGATGCTGCCGAACGCCGTTAAATTGAGAAAAGGCGTTAAAATTTATTTTTTTTTAATAAAATGGATTACAATTAATGATAAATAGAATAAAAATACATTTTAAATTAAAAATGTATCCCTGTTCGATGTGCTAGAGTATTTTCTCTCCCAGTTGACACATATACACAATGAATGCCCCTCCCGACGCCTTTAAAATGATTCCTTCAAAAGTCTTACAGTTTAGTTTTTAATTGTTTATATATTAATATACTACTTTTAAATAGAAATTTTAATTAATAATCATTTGTTATTGTTCTTTTCTTTACAGTCCGTCGTTCGCCATCATCTTGCCCTGGACCAAATAACTTGCCACCACTGCAATTCCATCATGTTCACGGTGATAACATTCGGATATCACGAGATGGTACGATAGCTCGTCGTTTCGAAAGTTTCTGTCGTGCCATTACCTTCTCGGCTCGTCCGGTGCGCATTAACGAACGAATTTGCGTGAAATTCTGTGAAATCTCTAATAATTGGAATGGTGGTATACGTTTCGGTTTCACCAGCAATGATCCAGCCACATTAGAGGGTACTCTGCCCAAATATGCCTGCCCCGACTTAACAAATCGTCCTGGCTTCTGGGCCAAAGCTCTACATGAACAATACTGTGAAAAGGATAATGTCCTCTATTACTATGTCAATTCAGCCGGTGATGTTATCTATGGCATTAATAATGAAGAAAAAGGAGTTATATTATCAGGCATTGATACACGTGGTTGTTTGTGGACCATCATTGATATCTATGGCAATTGTACGGGTATTGAATTTTTAGATGCCCGTGTTTATATGTATCAGCAAAGTGGTGGTGTGGGTCTGCCTCCCTCAGTTTTGGCAGCCGGTATGACTGGCACCTTGCCAGCCGGTTCTCAAATGAGTGGTCTAAATCCCCATCATCCCAATCAGCAATCTAGGAGATCTCTGCCCTCTACCGCTGGTAGCTATGATCACGATTTGGAACGCAGCATAATGCCTTCGATGCAATCATTGAATATTGCCGGTGATCAAGTGGCCATTGCTTCGGATCTGGCCAATGGCTTACCTCCACTACGTTATAATGCCTCTGGCCGTCTGATACCAGTACCCTTCCACATCACCAAAGGCCGCAATGTACGTTTGTCACATGATCGTTTTATTGCTTCGCGAACAGAAAATGATTTCTGTCAAGGTTATGTTTTTACTGCCCGTCCCATAAGAATAGGTGAGAAGATAATCGTACAAATCCTGAAGACGGAACAAATGTATGTGGGTGCATTGGCCTTGGGTTTGACATCGTGCAATCCAGCCGCCTTGCAACCCGGAGACTTGCCAAATGATTCCGATTTCTTGTTGGATCGTCCCGAATATTGGGTGGTGAGCAAAGATATTGCCGCCGCCCCCCAACGTGGCGATGAGATTGCCTTCTTTGTGGCACCCAATGGTGAGGTAACCATTAGCAAAAACAATGGGCCAGCTGTGGTGGTGATGCATGTCGATCAATCTTTACAATTGTGGGCCTTCCTCGATGTCTATGGTTCCACACAGTCGGTGCGTATGTTCCGACAACAGCTGCCAAATATGGTGAATTATCCACCAAACGCAATAGCGGGTTCCTCGCAACGCATAGTCAATATACCCGTCTCGGAATCAATGAATAGTCTGAATAGTCAAATATCGGAAAATCGTAAAATTATCCATCCCTCGCAATTGAATGTGACACACGGTACGATAAGTGCGTCCACCTCAACACTGGCCTCAATGCAATCGACAAACAATTTAGCGGTGGGTCAGACCTCAGGTATTCTGAATGGCACTTGTTCCCCACCCAGTAATGCTGCGACGGGACGTATGATTAGTATGCCCTCGAATGGTGAAATGATACAAATTCAGCCCACCAATGGTGGTGGTACTGTATTGGTTGTGAATTTACCACCTGCCACTTCAGCATTGGATTTGAATGGTTTGGCGACGTCACAGGCTCGCCTAGCCGCATCGGCAGCAACAACAACGAATGGTGGAAATTCAGCTACTTGTTCAAGTGGGGCCAGCAGTAATTCAAATGTAAATACACTTGTTGGAAATATCAATAATGGACAATTTATTGAGGTTAGTATTTGAATTCGAACGAAAAAAAAGCACACACATCAATTTGTTAAGCAATTGAGTTTGGTGCTAATGTAGATATTGGCAGTTGAAATTTTTGTTGTTTTCAATTGGCAAGGTCATGATCTTTTGTTTATTTTATTAATGTAAATTTTTTCTTTTTTTCCCTTTCAGACTAACACTGCCTCTTCATTAAATGTGGCTGCTGCCACAAACAACAAATGGTCTAAGGACACCGTGGACAATTCCGATTCAGCTGGTGCTGAATGTACAATCTGCTATGAAAATCAAATTGATTCGGTACTCTATAGCTGTGGTCATATGTGTATGTGCTATGATTGCGCCATTGAGCAATGGCGTGGTGTTGGCGGTGGCCAATGTCCACTGTGTCGGGCTGTTATTCGCGATGTTATACGTACTTATACTACATAAAAAAAGAAAACAATCCTAAAAAACACAAAAGGAAAATGCTTATGAATACAAAGAGAGAAGCAAAAAAAAACACAAAAATATTTCTTTTTGATACACACACACTCACTATAATGTAATACTACTATAGATCCTATGGAACCCTCCCTGACATTAATATAAAACTCGCAAAAAAATTAATGGAATTTTTTAAAAATAAAAAAAATATATATTTAAGCATAAAATTAAAAAAAATTGTTATTGCTGCAAAACCTGGAAGAAGTAAAAAAGACAAAATGTAATGGATTTTAAAAATTAAAAAGAAAAAACAACAACAAATTATGGTATTAATTAAAATTATATATAAGATTTTTTAGGTTTCTCTTTATATATACTAAGTATTATGTGATTTATTTTTTATAAATGATAATTGTATTATAGTTTTAAAAAAAATACCACAAAAATAAAATGAAGGAAAGTGAAAAAACAAACAATGCCAATATATTTGTCGATCATGCTATTTTATAAATTATTAGAATTAAAAAAAAACAAAAATTGAATGAGAATGCCTTTTAGAAATTATTTTGTTTTGAATGAAAAAAGAAATTGTAAAATTATGGAAAAAATTTTTGAGGTTAGGTTTAATTTATTTTGTAGAAATTCGATTAAACCATATAAGCAATTGTAAACATAAATGGCTCAATTATGATTTTAAATTTTATTTTTAAATCATTTTTTTATCATATACACAAACAAAGCTAAATCCAAATTTTGTTTTTTAAATTTTAAGTTTTTTTTAATATATTTTTCTTTCTATTTCATCTCATCATCACATAAAACCAAAGTATTTGTTGGATTTTTTTTTAAATATTTTTTCAAAATAAAAAATGAAGGTTTTATATTACTGTGGATGTCCAAATATAAAATACAATACCTTTTTACAGCTTAAGTATATTTTAAATATTTTAAAGCTATAAAATTCAAATCAAAATATTTGCCAAGACTTTAAACAGCAAATTTGCTGTGTGGCCTGGTTACTTCATTTGAGAGCAAACGACGCCTGTCATATGGTATAATTCCTTTCTCGATGTCTCTTGCTTTCATTGACACGAATAACTGTATATTTATTTTAGACAACGGACTCTCTCTCTCTCACCCCCTTTATAACAAAGGATGAAATGTTTTTAAACAGAACAATGAAATTATTTAAACAGCGTTTTAAACAAAGAAATATTTCCATTTTTTTAATTTTATTTTTTTCCTTAAAGATGTCCTTATTGATCAAATAATTCCCGCTCCTAATAATAACAATAACAACATCTAAATTTTTATCAATTTAGAATTCTAATTAAATCAAATTTATTAATACATCCACACAATTTTTTCACACCTAACCAGTGCATCAAAATAATTGAAACCACCTAACCCAAAAAAAGTTTAATTTTATTAACATAACTACTTTTCTTTTTAAAATGGATTATTTTTAAATTTCTTTATTAAGTGGTTATTGGGTTAAAAGGGTTCAATAAAAAAATAAAACAAAATATTTCAAATCCAACAAATAATAATAAACAAGAATTCAATCAAGATACCAATTAATGACAAACCCAAATCACAAAAAAAAACACAAAAACAAATGCTCAATGATGATTATTTTAATCAAAGATTAAACCCAAAACATAATTATTACAACATAATTTATTATTATACCATATATTTATTATTAATATATATTATTATTAAAATAATAACATCATCACAAGATCCCCCACCCCCAGCACACAATAAAATAAAACTAATTATAATTTTTGTCATAATTTTATTTTTTAGTTTCTTTTTTTCGATATATTTTAAATAATAATAACCATGATGAAACAAATTAAGTCTGTAATGTTTATTTTATTAATTTAAATATTCATTTATTATTATTTTTCTTTTAATTATGAGATTATGTTTTAAAATTTAATAATTATTTTAATTTTTTTACATTCTTTCTTTGTATTGTATTTTATTTCTAGTCACTTCTTACAATAACTACTTTACTTTTTTATACATAGATTTATATTAAAATACATACATATGCAAACAGCTGGAAAAACAAATTATAAAAAATCAAATAAAAAACGAATTCGAAACTATTTTTTCATACGCAAAAAAAGACAAAAAAGAAAATACTTGTGTTGTTTTGTTTATTTAATTTTTTGGTTCTATTACGGAAATTGGTTGGAAAATGTAATTAGTTTATTTTTTTATTAGATAATGATTATTGGAATGTACAGAATGGCTATAGAAATTATACAGTGAATATAATGTTTTATATGTAGAGGCTACCACACAATTACCCTAGAAGGGGTTTTTATGTTCGTCATCAGTTTTTATTAGCGGAATTCAGGCGAAACAGATTACAAAGTGCGACAAATTTCAATTTTTATTTTGATAATTATGGCGAAATTTAAAAAAAAAAAAAATATGAAAGAGCGGCTAAAATGGAAGAAACATGTATAGGCATTTTGAAAATTTATGTTGGAAAGTAAACTAAAAGGGCGTGGCAATATTTCCCATTTTCAAGATAGTTGAAAATATTCAGATTAAGATTTCTCGAAATCCTGGCATTAATGGTGTCTTTGGCAATATCTATACTAATAATTTGGCAATATCTATACTAATATCTATAAAAATAAAGTAGTGATTGACTGACTGATTTAACGATTCATCAACGCCCAGACGAAACGGCTGAAGCTAGAATCTTGAAATTTTAGGTGAGTGTCACTCTTGGTCCAAAGGTGACAGATAATACAGAAATTCGTACTAGAACGGTACGAAAAGTACTAAATGTGGTACCATTTGCATTTGGCGAACCAGTTAAGCTAGAACTCTGAAATTTGGTTTGAGGGTCACTAATGGAGTGTAGAATAGATGTAGCAAAGGGCTTTTTGGAAATTCGAATTATGAGTATCCGAAAAGTACTGAAATGTACTAGATTTGGTACAATTTCGTGGCATGTGAATGGATTGAGCTAAAAACTTGAAATTTGGAATACAAATTAAGGTTGACAAGTAGGGTCGATATGAGACGAAAAGTACTATATTTGGTACAAATTTAATTCGGAGGTACAAATCGAGCTGGAATCCTGAAATTTAAAATTAACATTACCGTCGGAGTGTAGGATTGGGATATGTACGTAGTTTTGAAATTTTTTTACTTATGTGTACGAAAAGTACTAAATCGTACTATAATTGGTACAATTTGTATTTGGGGAACCGATAGAGCGGGAACAATGAAATTTAGAGTCAGGATCATTGTAGGGGTGTATGATTAGGGTCAGGATTCAGTTTAAGACATTAATATGTATGGATACTAAATAGTACTAAATTTGGTACAATTTGAATTTTAGGTGAACCAATAGTTAGAATCATGAAATTTGGAGTCAGGTTAACTGTTGTGTTGTAAGTTTGAGATATGTAGGAAGCTTTAGAAATGTTAAACTAATGTGTACCAAATTTGGTACAATTTAAATTGTGAGTGAAGCGATAGAGTTAGAATCATGAAATTTTGATTTAGGATCACTGTGGAGGTGTAGGAGTGCACTATATTTGGCACTGTGTACTAAATTTGGTACAATTTGAATTTTAGTAGAACCGATGGAGTTGGAATCCTGAAACATCGATTTAGGATAACTGTGGGGGTGATGGTTTGGGTTATGTAGGAACTGTGTACTAAATTTGCTACAATTTGAATTGTTTGTGAACCGATAGAGTTGGGATCCTGAAACTTGGAGTAAGGATCACTGTGGCAAACTGTTGTTTGCTTACAAAACATTAAATATCAACTGATGGTATAAGGACATTCTTAATGAGTAAATTTTTTCTACTAAGCGTTTGCAAACCCAGCGGATTTTTTCCCATACATCTTCCAAGTTATGTAGGTGCGACCCGCTCAAAGCCTGTATACAATTTCAACTTACAATTATACAGCCACCGACAATATAAGCGAATTTAAGATGCGTCCGACACCACCAAAATTGTAAGTGAAGGTCGGATATGTCCGACTTTTCTAACATTGTAAATTGTTTTCACGACATAGTAGATTTGTCTTTTAAATATATTGCAGGTCAAATATTTGAAAAAACTCATAACTGCGAATAAAAACAACTTGGCGGGTAATGTGGACCAATAAGTTAAAAAGTAGGTTGTGGATTGGTTGGGATAAATTTCAATGTATTGCAGTTTTGGGTAACAATTAATGCAAAAATATATGGGTATGAACCCATATATTTTTTGGAATCGCCCCCATTTAAGGGTACCATCCCATTTGCGGTATTTTAAATGACCTAGCTTCAATATCCAACCGAAGCAGCTGTAATTTCGCAATATCGAGTTTTCAAAGGATAGAATACCTTCTCATAGAAATGTTTTTAATATGGGGCCATGTTTGGAACTTGTCCCCATGAAAATGTCCCGTTTTTATATGGTGGTCCACATTACCCGACTTTGCATTTTTAATTTAAAAATAATTTTTGAATTAAAAACTAAACAAAAATTAATACTAACCGATTGTAATTACAGTTAAACGTACACTTTTATTGAAAAAAATAAAGTTCTATATAACATCTTTATAATTGAGAAAAACAAATTGTTTGACTCTTGTGATAGATAACTTTTCAAATTACAGATTTTAATAAGAGCTTAACTAAATTTTCAATATTGCAATTTTCTACTAAAAAGTATGTTAGACGTTTGTTTTTACTATTTAGGAAAACATATATCAAAGCGGCATTGACATATTTCAAGCATTTTCTTAGATATGGGGGTGGTCCACATTAGACGCATAGTCCACATTACCCGATGTTACTGTACTGGCATCTCCTCCACACGTTGCCTCAGCGGAGACCGGATGACCTACCAGCGGGGGAAGTTGTTGTTTTGCTCTCCTAGCTATGTTCACTAATTGGAATATGTATATGTATTAGTAGAAATAGACAAGCGATCCTCTGCGATCACAAGAATCCTGTCTTCACTTGTCATGTAGCTATCGAAGTGTCAACTTGGACAGAACAAGTACAATGACAACATTTTATAATATTGTATTTTGTCCTTCAATTCTAGTATGGATTTTGTTTCACAATGCAATAGCAATACGATTCATCTGAATCGGAAGCTAGTTGTATGCTATTAACCGCCGTTATATAATTTTTTCCTATTGACATAATAGTATGCATTCAGATGACTATTAAATTGTAATGGTCTGCGGACTGCTGGGAATACTCAGAAACACAACTGTCGTATCTGCTGTCTCAATTCACTCCCTTTTAGTGGACTTTTGAGTAAACGAACGAACCTAGGGTTTGTGTTCCTCTGCTTGGTAATTTAAGGCACTTTTAGAAGCCTTAAATTTACTTCTTGGTCCAATCAAAGGCATGGTATTACATATGACTTACTTCCTTTCTTTAGATATAACGTTGTGACTAGAACTCTGATAATGAGAAAATAAGTTTTTATATGATTATTGTGGTTAATGCCATAATCGTTACTCCTTGTCCTTTCAGAATTGTTTTATTGCATAAGATGTCTGATGATTTTACACAGAAATTATTAGAAGAAACAAACATCCTGAGACATACAAATAAAAGTGGACCGTCTTTATCTTTTTAAATAAGTATGCTAATTCTTCTGGTCAACTTTGAGAAAATCTGACCGTCTTCGAAAGACTATGAGCAGTTTAATGATGAATCTGGTATTCTAAAAAATAAGGTTTTATTAAAAACAAGTCTAGTGGTATTTTGTAAGTATAGGTCCTAAAGCATTTTGAAATTATATGATCAGGTATTATAACCGTATTCTATAAGTGTCCATAGTGGTGAGAATATCTTCTCTTTACATTTCATTTCGACGATTTTGTACTTAAATCCCAGGAGACGATTTATTTCTTTAATTGTTTTTAAAAATTTGAGTTTGTAATTAATTTACTCAAGTTAATTATATCTAATTATTACTAGTTTATTTGTTGTTATTACTCCACAAATATCTTTGAGCTGGTTTAAAAATCGAACTAAGTATATAAATAAGTTTGCATGCATCTGTTTTATATGATAACCCATACGGGAAGTGTAATTGGTAATCAGCAGTATTGTTATTAATTAAATAATTTCAAAATGTAATATTTTATTTGCAAACCAAAGCAATTAAAAAGTTATACGCATGTAACACACACAAAATATCCTTGTGTGTGCGGCCCCGCATGTGTGTAGTTAATTAATAATAAGGCTATGTGCATTTACTGCCTTCTACAATGAATATCCTTACTTTATTGAAGATATTGAAAATATCTTCAAGAGAGCACAGTTTTTAAAAATTGTTTTTAACAAACATAGCAATAAAAACTAAACATAATGTATATTTTTGTATAAATAATGTTTATAAATATTTACATACATAAATATGTTCCGAATCCTAAAATTAAAAAAAAATAATGCAATGAAAACCGTCACTATTTTATAAGAAAGAGAATAACATAAAAAAAGCTTATATTCAAAATGTAGGTTATTATTAATCAAATATGGTATGGAAAAAAATTAAATTACATAAATACTATATTTTAAGTAATTTAGTAAAACCAAAATACAATAAAGACAACTGAAATCAGTATTCGATAGCAAAGAAAAAAATCAAAGTTACAAAAAAAAAAAACAGATAACAAAATCTTGAAAGAAAAATAAAATTTATGAATGAAAAAAATAAAAAAGACTGCGATTTTTATTAATTTGTAGAAATATTTAGAACATCACAGCTTTAGATATTATTTAAGAAGACCTACTGGCCGGAGTGTTCTGATTTCTTGGTCTTAAAGAAGAGCAAAATTAATCACGCAGAAGACCAGAACGTATTCTCATAAATAACTAATAGGTCATCTCAGAGAAGACTGGAAGATCTTCTTAAAGAAGACCAGAAAAATGCCAGTAGACTAATAGGTGGTCAGTAGGTCATCATATAGAAGACCTGTAGGTCTACATATTGAAGACCTCCAAACATATTTTTTAACTCCACGCCTATGCTGGACATCCAAAAATATTTTTTTAACTCCACGCCTATGCTGGACTTCCAAAAATATTTTTTTAACTCCACGCCTATGCTGGACTTCCAAAAATAATTTTTTAACTCCACGCCTATGCTGGACTTCCAAAAATAATGTTTAAAAAATCCACGCCAAAAATTATTTATAAACCACTTTGGGTATATTCTACATATGTATCCTAACAGACGTCGCTTTTTTTGTTATATATTTATATCTGAACCGATTTCAGGGAAACGTGCCAGAGACTAATTTATATTACTTCAGTACGTTGTGTCAATCGGCCAAGATATGGATCTTTTCACGAAGCTTAGCAACATCATTCTAGACTTAATTCAGTACCCTATACAAAAATTCGTGCAAATTGAAAGATATATAGGGACTTTAGTGCACCAATAACATAAAATCGGACGAAAATATATATGGGAACTATATCTAAATCTGAACCGATTTTTACGAAACTTAGCACACGTCATTGCAGACTTAATTCAGTACGCTATGACAAATTTCGTGCAAATCGAATGATTTTCAGAGCCTTTGTTGCACTCATTATCTAAAATCGGATAAAAATATATAGGTAGCTATATCTAAATCTGAGCCGATTTTCACGAAACTTAACACACATCATTCTAGACCTTATTCATTACTCTGTACCAATTATTAATTACTCTGTGCCAAATTTCGTGCAAATCGAAAGATATATATGAAGACTTTGGTACACCATTTACCTTAAATCGGACGAAAATATATATGGGAGCTATATCTAAATCTGAACCGATTTTTCCAAATATCAATAGGGTTTGTCCTTGGGCCAAACAAATGAGCTGTGCCAAATTTCATCCAATTCGGATGATAAATGCGACCTGCACTTTGTTTAAAATTTAACATAGACAGACGGACATGCATAAATCGACTCAGAAAGTAATTCTATGCATATTCTTAAAAGGAATCATTGTTCTATCTCGATTATTTTTGACTGTTACAAACATATGCACAAAGACATAATAGCCTGTACCACAGTGTGGTGAAGGGTATAAAAACCCACCCCTATGCTGGACCTCCAAAAATTATTTTAAAAAAATCCACGCCTATGATAGTTGTCTCAAAATTATTTTGAAAAAAATCCACGACACCATAACCAGCAGTCTTCATATAGAAGACCAGTAGGTCTTCTTCTAGATAGCCAGTAAATCTTATTGCAAAAAACCAGTAGGTCTTCCCATAGATAACCAGATGTTCTTCTCATAGACGACAAGACCGTCTTCTCTTAGACCACCAAGAGTTCTAGAAGGTATTTTTATAGAAGACCAGAAGCTCTTCTTATAGAAGATCAGAAAGTCTTCTCATAGAAGATCAGAAAGTCTTCTCATAGAAGATCAGAAAGTCTTCTCATAGTAGACCAGTTGATTTTCTTATAGAAGAGAAGGTATTTTTAGAAGAACAGTAGATCTTCTTATTAAATAGCTGAAGTTATTCTTTCAGATGACCAAAAGGACTTATAGAGGATGATCAGGAGGTCTTATAATTGAAGATATTCTGAATGAAGACCAAAAACTCTTTTTATAGGTGAGCAGTATGCTTTCATGCAGAAGATATGAAGGTTGTATAGGAATTTTTATTGATTAACCCAATTTTAATGGCCAGTATATTTTCCTATATAAATTTCTTAAATTAATAACAAAAAATAACAAAACTCCATCATTTACCCTGAGATTTCTTTATTGACACTTTATCAACACTTAAATAAATCTTTATGCAACCAAAACAATCGGGAATGTACAAAAATAAATGCCAATTTAAATCAACAATCATTTATTTAACCAATCCAATACTTGCGGCTTCGTATTCTCCACCTCTTTCAAAATCTCCAATGTCTTTTGCTTTATCAACGTATGTATTTCATCCTGCGTTTGATTGGCATCAATCGGATGCCAATAGTGTTGTTCCATTTGATAGATTTCCTCAAAGGTGCGTGCAACTTTCGTTTGAAAATCTTCCTTTTCGTAACGTTCCTCACCGAATTGGCCACGATCTAATAGATTGCCAACATGCGTCTTTAAATAGAATACAACATCGGGACGTGGTAGACCATGTTCGGGTGACATACACCATTGTCGGGACATTCCTTTGGCCACACTATAGGCTAAACCACTGTACGCATAACGATCTACCACCAAAGTGGTACCGGAATTTAATAAATTCAAGATATGATTTTTATGTTCCCAACGATTGGCAGTAAATAGCAGATGTACAGTTTCATCGTTCAGCTCCTGTTTGTTGGTGAGATATGCATTGATAAACTGGCCAATGTTCGATGAACGTTCAGGAAATGCCATATATTTGACGGGAATCGAACAGTTTTCTAGATATTCCACCAATTTCCGGGATTGCGTAGATTTACCACATCGATCACAGCCTTCCAAGACTATGAAGGCTCCACGTTTAATTTGTGACATGATGATACGTTTGATTCAGATATACCGGCCGGTTGTTTTGGTTTTTTTGCAAACTGTAAACAATGAACACGAGGTGTTTGGCTTGACATCTCGGCCGGCCGTGTTTGCTGCTTTAAAAGCGTTCCATGTGCAACGAATAGGGACATGCCTAATTTTTAAATCTTGAATAGGGAGTAAAAGGCTGATAAAGAATGGCCTGGTAACAAAATGGTCGATAAATGTCTGAAAAAAAAAAAAATTACCATAGGTAAGTGATGAGGAAGGATAAATCAATACTTCAGAAGTTACCAAAGGCTGTCCCTCCGATATTTATTTTTTTACTTCATATTATTTAAATATGGAACGCCGAAAGTAGATTTTTTATAGAAGGCCGGTAGAACTTCTTTCTAAAAAGACCAGAAAGTCTTCTGAAAAAACTTTCCGGTCAGAGGTCCCTAAACTAAAATGTCGTTATAATCAGCATAAAGGTGGCTGTCTATGGTAAAATTTACATATTTCAGGGAAGTGGTCGTAAAGAAAATTCGGGAAACGATCTGGTTGAAATTTGGACCTCTTATATAAAGCCAGGAGGTCTTGTAGAAGGCCAAAGACTTTATTTTTTAACTTCACATTAATAAAAGCCTTTTTACAGAGAATCAGAAAGTGTTCTGAAAAAATTACACCACTTCTGACTTTTTGAATGGACCAGAACAATTCGGACTGATGTCCCTAAACTAAAATGTCGTTGTAATGAGGATAAAGGGGGCTGTATGTGGTAAAATTTTCCAATTTCAGAGGAGTGGTCTTAAAGAAAATTTGGCAAACGATTTTGCTGCAATTTGCTCCTCTTATGGGAAGCTAGAAGGTCTTGTAGAAGACCAAAGAATATTTTTACAGAAGACCAGAAGATTTTCAGATGGTTTATTAACGAAGGTCAGATGGTATTCTTATAGAAGACCAGATGTTCTTCCTATGGTAGACCTTGTGGACCTCTTACGGAAACCAGAAGGTTGTGGAGATTATAAAAAAATCGTTATGGAGATTATAAAAAGTCTGGTCCGGCCGAACTTAGCGCCTTCTTTATGGCCTTCAGTTCATCTATAAAGTTGCCTAGAAGTTCAGCGCATTGAAAAATATAGTTTAATACGACATCCTGCATATCAGCTCTTCGATAAAGACTAACTATCCTTTAGCACGTCTTAAAAGACTCACTGTCCTTCAGCGGGTCTTTAGTTAGTTACTTTCTATGGACTCCCTACAGCTCGTCTATAAAGACTACCTTCAGCTAGTCTATAAACCCACGCCTTTGCTGGTCCTCTAAAAATAATATTTAAAAAATACAAGCCTATGATCGACCACCAAAAATAACTTTTAAAAAATCCAGGCCAATGCTGGACCTCCAAAAATAACTTTTAAAAAATCCACGCTTATCATAAGTCCTTGAAAATAATTTTTAAAAAATCCACGCTTATCATAAGTCCTTGAAAATAATTTTTAAAAAATCCACGCTTATCATAAGTCCTTGAAAATAATTTTTAAAAAATCCACGCTTATCATAAGTCCTTGAAAATAAATTTTAAAAAATCCACGCTTATCATAAGTCCCTGAAAATAATTTTTAAAAAATCCACGCTTATCATAAGTCCTTGAAAATAATTTTTAAAAAATCCACGCTTATCATAAGTCTCTGGAAATAATTTTTAAAAAATCCACGCTTATCATAAGTTCCTGAAAATAATTTTTAAAAAATCCACGCTTATCATAAGTTCCTGGAAATAATTTTTAAAAAATCCACGCCTATAATAAGTCCTTAAAATTAATTTTTAAAAAATCCAAGCCTTTGCTGGTCTACTAAAAATAATTTTTACAAAGTAAATAAATTTTAAAAAATCGAGATTGAACCGCTTGTCATATCCGCATCGAACACAGCTTCAAACATGTTGGTTCAAAACATCTGTTCTTAAACTCAAAAGTCGACCTATAAATCCCTTGTCGAAGTTACCAGAAAAACAAAAAATAAACAAATCACGACGTCAGTCGCCGCTTCCAAAACAAATTAAAAGGGAAGAAAATCCAATAAGCTCCTCCACCATGGTCCACAAAATGGAATGGTATGTTGGTACCGAATGGCAATTGGAACGCAAAGGCCTACACAAAAAGGTATTGGCCCATCAATTTACCAAATTGGAGAAACCTCATCCGGTGGCCAAGGTTATTATTTGTGTGGAAAGTGTTGAAAATCTGAATGGACGTGGAACAATTTATTTGAGTGATGACAAACTTGGCAAGGATCAGTGTATGGAAATGGGTAGTGCCTTAAGTCCAGTGGATTATTATTTGGAAATGATGGTGCAACAAATGGTCATTGGTGAGAAGGCATTGTGTACGATTAAGACCAAAGAAACCGCTAAAGATATACGAGTCACATTGGTGCTCAAGGAAATACAAGAGTCCAAACCCATACATAAGCTGACGGTACCGGAAATGTATCAACTGGCCTTGAAATATAAAGAGAATGGGGTGAAAATGTTCAAAACCTATCCCGTCTTTGCCCATGAATACTTTTCACGAGCTGCCAAGTGTTTGATTTCCTTTAAAGAATTTGAAGGGTTGACCAAGAAACGGGATGGTATGGCTGGAAAGGATATGCATGATTTATTCATACAAATTCAAACCAATTTGGCTGCCTGTCTGTTAAATGCCAAGCGTTATGAGGATGTCATCTATCAAACAAATTTTGTGGATAAACAAAATTCTCCCTCGGAGAAGAGTGTCTATCGTCGAGCCATGGCCTATTATCATTTGTCGGAATTTGATTTGGCCCAAAAGACCATAGAGAAAATACCCGACTATCAGGAGAAAAAAGAATTTAACAATCTCTACCACAAAGTGGTGGAATGTCGCAAGACTAGTAATGCCAATTATAAGGGTATGGTGAAGAAAATGTTTGGTTAGCTAAAGAAAGGCGAGGGAATTTCTTAGTTTTTAAAAAGTATTTTTTTATTAATTACTTTAAGTTAAAAATAAACTTAAGAAAGAAACAAACGAATAGTGTTTTTCCATTTTGTAAAAAGTTATCTAATAAATTATTTACAAGTGTTATTTTTTCTTATTAAATTTAAATGGCTTTTTATCTTTGAAACCGCTCTTAAATGATTTTTTATCCTTGAAGCCACCTTTTTTATCCTTGAAACCACTCTTATCCTTGCCACCCTTATCCTTGAAGCTTCCGTTTTTCTTGTCACCAAAGGATTTCTTGAAACCATTTTTATTAAAATCCTTTTTGTTATTGAACTCCTTTTTATTGCCATCCTTCGCGTCTAATTTCGGCCTTTTACTCTTGAAGCTAGGTGGCAATTTGGTACGTTTCCTTGATTCAGGTTCTGTGGATTTGAAAAGTTCCTCATCGGGATCTTCACCAACTTCTTCTTTGTAGTAGACAGCATCATCATCTAAATCACTGGCAGCAGCAACCTCCTCCTCATAACCTGCCTCAGCTTGACCGCTACTAGGGGTCTTTGATTTCTGTTGTTGTTCTTTGAGTTTCTTTGCCCGATTTTCGGCTTGTTGCTTCTTCCTCTGTTCCTTGAGTTTTTGTTTCTTCTCTACCATTTTTCTTAGTTCTTCCTTTTCTTCTTCGGTCTTAACAATGTGATCGTGGTAAAGAACTTCACCGGTCAATAGGCCTTCCTCGATTTTCATCAGTTGTATTGTCATACGAGGTCCTATTTCTTGTAGCTTTATGGCGGATTTGTTATTTTCCAAATTACCTTTACGTTTGAGAGTTTGTGGTAGGACAACTTGGGAATTTTCATCATCTTCGGCTTCGGACTCAGAGGCGTTACCATCCCTGGAAAGGAGAAGTGAATTAAAATATTAACAATTTAGGACTTTAAAAGGATTTAAAGAATAATTTTTTTAATAAAGAGGAGCGTAAAAATTATTTATAGACACCCAACATAGGCGAGGATATTTTAAAAATTATTTTTAGACATCCAACATAGGCCTGGATTTTTTAAAAATAATTTTTAGCCTCTCAACATAGCCATAGAGGTTCAACTTAGGCTTGGATTTTTTTAAAAATAATTTTTAACCTCTCAATATAGCCTTAGAGTTTTAACACAGGCTTGAATTTTTTAAAAATTATTTTTAAGGACTTATCATAGGGGTGGATTTTTAAAAATTATTTTTAGATTACAAAAAAAATATTTTCTGTGGAATTTTTATCCCATATTCGCATAAATCATGAATTGTTTTTCAAAACTTACTGCATAATAAATTCGGCAATATCTTCACATTTTGATAGATTGGGTATTTTTCCCATAACCAATTTCTTGACACCTTTGTTAAGGCCAACAGGTACAACCTGTATGGAATAGTGGCGCATATCGACCAAATTTGTTTCAGGATTATAGGAGAATAATACACAACGTCTTATGGTGGCAATATTGACCTGAAATACAAAAGAATGTCTTTATTAATTTTTCAAAAAATCTAAAATCCCATTGTACTTACCTCCGCCAAATTAATCGCCGGAAACATATTTTGAAATGTGTGAGCCATCAGCTTCAAATGTTTACCATCGCCGGTGAAATTATTCATTACCACCAATGGTGAATGTTTAAACATACCCTCGTCGATAAATTGTTTCTTATGTTGTGATATCACATCTCGGGCCAGTGTAAATTGATGCACTTTAAAGGTGAGTGTGGGACCCCTTGGCAAACGGGCCACTTTAAATGACAACTGTGTCGCTGCCTTATTAAATATACCCATATGTGAGACATGGAAGAAACTGCTAACAGCAACAAAATCTTTAATACGATTAATTTTCTTCTCTTTCAATTCACTCGCGGTAAATGGTTCCATAATTCGACGAAAATCCAATGTCAAATCTGTAATATGGGGACAGGATAGGCCACGATGTATAATGAATGAATGTGGTGCCTCTGCCAATTCACTGGGTTCGCCTTCTTTGAAAGCGGCGGTACGCTTTTTAGGATGCTTCTTTTTCGATTTGCCCAT